GAACCTCATGCCTCTCCCCCTCAGCTTCTCCTCCTGGCCCTGTTGCAAGCATCCCTTGATGTGGAGACTGTTTGTTTGTTTTCATTTCCTTGCAAACATCAGTTTCTGACCTGCCAAGGCACTGGACTTTGGGAGTCTCTCTGCTGCAGGGCACACTGTGCATGCTGGTTCCTTCTGCTCTGTCTGGAGTAGATGGGTTGGATAAACTCCCAGACCCAAGTAATGAGGAGTTCAGCTCATCCCCAGCAGCTCATGGGCACTTTACTCCTTGTCTACTGCATCTTCCAGGCAGTGCATTTTGGTTTGCATGTTTCCTACAGCTCCCTGCTTTAGGAGCCGGGTTACTTTTCCCACAATCAGGTTATCTTCAGGCATTCTTCTGTTAATCTAAATTAGTTATTTAATCTATGGTCATAATCGCAAGGGCTCCTTCTAGACTCTGAAGTCTGGTCATTGTAAATTAATGTAACTGGGTGTAATAGGCCCTGTGTGTGATGCCTGGGGATCCCTGCTGCAGCCTGGGCTGACAAAGGGTGTGATGTGTGTGCCCTGAGAGGCAACCAAAAGTCTTTGGGCTTTTAATTACTGCAGCCTTTCATTTTGTACTGATTTATTGCCTGTTTTCATTGCCAAACACCACCCAGGCAGATAGTGTTAAGCTGTTGGGTGTTAGTTAGCTTCTGTCAATACACACAGCAGCCTGTGTGTACAGCTGGGCAAGTCTTTGAGAGGGATCCAAAGGGAAAATGCCACACGAGCCCTTCCTGGGGTCCCGGGAGCCCTCTGCACCCATCCCCTCTGCAGCATCTTGGCTGGAAGCTGAGCAGCAAAAGCCACAATGGGAGAGAGCTCCAAGGAAGCTGTTGTGATTAAACTGTCACAGTGGTATTAGCAATTCATCACGTTATCCAGATACTTGGGATTTTTCAGGCTGGGGGATAAAACCCCTTTCACAGCTAGCAAACAGTGTAGTCCATGGCATGTAAAGTTCCATTGTTAATGGAGTAGGGCTGAGCCCTCAGAAACTGGTCCCAAAAGCAATTCCCACTGCGTGGGATGGGGTTTGTAAAGCCTTTACCCAGTATGGGGCTGACCCTGACCTTGATCTTGGAGCAGCGTCACAGGAAAAGTCTCCACATGAGAATTCCCAGTTGCTGGTGTGCCTGAGGAGCACCCAAGCTCTCCTCCATCTCCTGGCCCTCCTCAGCCCCATCAATGTTCCTGTTGTTTCTCCCCCGGGAAGGAGCAGAGTCCACTCTCCACATGGCCAAGGAAATCTGGTCCTGCAATGTCTGGGTCTTGCCCAGGACACTGATGATGTTTGGGCTTTGGCTCAAGACATGGGTCCAGCTTTGTGGGCACAGAGTTCCTGGTGCTGGGGAGCTGCCTCTCCCTGCCAAGCACAGATCTGTGGTGATAACCCCACGTGTTGAGCTGCTGGGGCTGTTTCTGGGTGGTACATGCTCAGGCATCACTGCAGAGTTGCCTATAAATCTGTGTGTCAATGCAAACCCTGAGTGCTGGGCTCTGGGAGGCTCTGTGTCCCTTGTGGAATCTTCCAAACCTTGTTCCAGTCAAAGAAATTCCTTCAAATGCTTTATTTTATGATTATTTTTTTTCTATCATGCTGCTGAGCGAGAGGCTGAGGTCAGAGTCTTCACCCCCCGTGATTTTTTGGAACACACAGCACAGCAAAATGCAGATGGGTTACGGGTCTGTGTGGGGCCTCCTGCTCAACACTAAAAGGTTCTTTATTTGAAGTAAAAAAAAACAACAAAAAAAAGGCCTTGGTGACATTTTACCAAAGTTGCAGACATTTTACAAAAGAAAAAAAAAGCACAGAAGTCTCTTTTCCCCCCATTAATCCCTCAGACTCTCAGGAAAGCCTGGGGAGGTCTGAGAAGCAGAGGGAAAGGTGGGAGCAGAAGCAGCACTGGAAGAGAAGAAAGCAGCGCTCCATCAGCAAGGAGAAGTGGGTGGAGACACTGGTGGTGGCAGACACCAAGATGATAGAGTACCATGGGAGCCAGAACATCGAGAAGTACGTGCTGACTGTGATGAACATGGTGAGTCCTGGTCCCCTCAGCTGCACAGCCACCGGCTCCCTGGGGACACAGCTAGGAGAAGTAAAGACCTCTGGGCTTGCCAGGACTCACTCCTGGTGGGACCTCAGCAAACCTTTCACCAGACAGGCTGTTCCCACCAGCTCGTTGGCTTTTCTGCATTGCTGCATGTTCCATCCACCACAGGATGTGTCTACAAGGGTTTGTGTCAACAAGCCCGTGGCCAAAATCTCTGTACAGGCAGCAGCAGCTCAGCCTGCAGTGGTTCCACCTTCCCCATGGGCTGTTCCCTTCTCCTTTTCACCATGGGGGTGGATAACGTGGCCTCCCAGGGAGGTGCCCCAACAGCAGGGCTGCTCCTCCTGCACCCCTGCTCCAGGGAAGGGAGGTGGTGGGTGCTGCGCCCCCCAGGCAGGCAACTTGGGACACAGTTGAAGCTGAAACCACCCCGAAGCCTGCACTTGGGCCACCCACCACCCTCTGCATGAGAAGGAAACCTCCACACAGGAGGAGAGACCTGCAGAGACCTGGGAGCTTTGGCTCAGGCTCCCTGGAGCCCGGGGCTGGCTGTGCCCGCCAAGGGAGGAGCTGCCCTGGGAGCCAGTGCCAGCACTAGCCTGGCTTGCTGGAGAGGCAGGACTGGCTTTCCAGGGAAGGTTCCCCTTCGGGCAGTGATGGGAAGGAGCACCAGATGGTGGTGGTCTCCCCTGGGAATTGGGATGGGGTTGCTGGTGCCACAAAGCAAGCAGATAAATCAGTGTGAGTTGGTTTAGGCTGTTCACTCTTGTAGCACATACTTGCTTTTCTAAAGAGGGCTTTGGTTGATGGCCAGAAAAGAGGGTGGAATTGGGCAGAGGAGCTAAGGATAACATCCCTGGTTTCTAGGGCTTGGTGAAGGCACCCAGGGAGCACATGCTTCCTTTGAGATGTTAAACACATCTGTTGGGAGTGCAAACAAAGGTGTTCCCCTGGGTGTTTCTGGTTGAGCTTTGATGCCCTAGCACGTTGGATCTATTGTAAATGGGTATCATCACACCCCAGGGCTGCATCTGGGCTTGTCTTTCCTTCTGGGGAATCCCCTGAGATGTTGTCAACAACCTTCAGCAGCTTCCCCTGCAGAGATGCTTCCCAGCAGCAGTGTCCCAGGGCAGGGTCCTTCAGGCTCTCAGTCTTTGCCCTGTTGCAGGTGGCAGGGCTGTTCCACCACGCCAGCATCGGGAACCCCATCAACATCGCCATCGTGCGCCTCATCCTGCTGGAGGACGAAGAGGTAAAGGGGAGCAGGGTGACCTCACTCTGCTCTGGACACAGTGCTGGCTCTGGGGAGCCTGGCATCTTCCAGTCAGGTCCCCAGCCACAGCTGCACCAGCAGCCAGGACGGGACACTTTCCCCCAGTGTTTCCTAACTCCCGGTACTAGATGATTTAATGTTTGGGTTGAATCACAGATGAAAAGGAAGCAGCAAAGGGCTGTATTCCCACCCAGCCCACAACTATAAATATGGAGCCATTCCATCTGGGTGGAAGTTACTCCCCATTTCACTCTGATGTGTCTGAGATCAGAACCCTCCCCATTGCATCCTAAAATCCAGGCCAGTCCCCCAGCAGTATGTCAGCAGGCTTGTTATTATGTTGGCAGGAGGATCTGAAAATCTCCCACCATGCAGACAACACCCTGAAAAGCTTTTGCAAGTGGCAGAAGAGCATCAATGTCAAAGGAGATTCCCATCCCCTGCACCACGACGTCGCAGTCCTGCTCACAAGGTATGGTGCCCACCTGCTGCTTGATGCTGGAGGTGCTGGGCTGGCAGCTGGAAACTCCTCTGGGAGCATCTCAGGGGGAGCTGTTGAATCTCACTCTCAGTGCCTGAGCCCTGCCTGAGCACCTGCACATAACATATGTAACACAAAATCTGAAGATAACCTGGTCTTAAGGGCTGTAACTGGTCTCAGACCTCAGGTTTGAACTTGGAGTCAGCTCCCAGTTGACGAGCAGTTGAGGTTTCCCAACCAGGTTTTCACCGTGGCCCTCTTGCCAAGCCCCAGAATGGCTGGATCTTCCCAGGAGATGTACACAGGGATTAACTCTCCTTTTTCCCTTGGAGACTAATGCTGGGATTGGCAGAGGAGCCTCTAGAAGGCCCCTGACCTCCCATGAAGCTCACAGGAATTCATGCCTCTGGCCAAGTTTATATACCTTGCAGTAAAAACACAGTTTGATGGTTTCAGGCTGCAGAAACTTGGCTGTTGGCAGCATCGTGGTGGTTTGTGTGATGATTCACAGCCCACAACAGTTTTATCTTCTTAAGGAAGTTTGCTTTGTAGCAGGAATAAGGCACTTAAGGCCATGTACTTCAATGGAGTTGCTCTTCCTGGGCGGCTGGAGCTCCTCTACCCTGGACCACAGCACCCCTGGGATGTACTTCCCCAAGCAACATAGTAATTGCTTAATTATTCCCAGCATCAGCTTTATTTATACAATGGAATACATGTAGCCAGGCTGGCTGGCAGCTCCCATTAATCAGGCTTACTAATAATCCAGGGATACCGGGAGAGTAAAGGGGGAAGGAAAGGTCATAAATCTTTCCGTCGCGGAAAGACGTTGGATGTCTCCATTCTCGCTTCTGTTTGGCCAGTGTCTCTGTGTCTTCCTCTGGGATGCATCCCGTGCTCCTTCCTGTGCCCCCCGTTGGGCCCTGCTGCTTTCACACCCCCTCTTTGCTCTGTGTCTGTGTGTCCCTTGTCTCTGCCTCCCAAGGAAGGACATCTGCGCCGCCATGAACAGGCCCTGCGAGACCCTGGGGCTGTCCCACGTGGCCGGGATGTGCCAGCCCCACAGGAGCTGCAACATCAACGAGGACACAGGACTGCCCTTGGCCTTCACCGTGGCCCACGAGCTGGGACACAGGTACCACCACCTTCCTCCTCTCCTCTGACTTCTCTCCTCTGCGCTGCTCAGTCAGGGCTTGAGAAAGCACGGGGTGGGAGTGGGGAGGAGATTGCCAAGCAGCTCCTCGCTGGTGCAGACCTTCCTCTGCATCCAAGAGAACTCACTCCGGGAATTTTATTTCAGAGGTTGCCCCAGGTTTAATGAAAATCCCATCCAAGGCAACCTGGACAAATGATGTGTGTGTTATCCTGTGCTGCTGATGCTGAAGGTTTTGGAGAAGAGGGTTGCCCGTTAAGAAGTTTTAACATAACTTCCATGTATAGAATCAGCAGCAGAATTCTGCTTGCCCTAAGTCCAGTTAAATTTTGGCAAGATCCCTTGAGCATCCTAGTTGATAGCAGGCATCCTTGTACAGTAAAAACACATACCCAGTAAGTTTGATTAACTTGATCTTGTTCAGAAGTCTCACTGTGTCTTTCTGGGCTGAGTTTTCAGCCAGAAACCTGAAATAAAAGCTTGGGACAAAGTTTGGGGCAGTGCCCCTGGTGTCACTGAAGTGTCCCCATGGCCAGACCCCCCCAGCGAATGCGTGTGGAGCCGGGATGGTGGTGGTGGAGCTGGGATGGTGGTGGTGGTGGAGCTGGGATGGTGGTGGTGGAGCCGGGATCGTAGTGGAGCTGGGATGGTGGTGGAGCTGGAATGGTAGTGGAGCTGGGATGGTGGTGGAGCTGGGATGGTGGTGGAGCTGGGATGGTGGTGCCCGGCGTTGGGCTGCAGAGCAGAGTGGCTGCGCGGTTGTGGCGGCGTGCGGCTCACCTCTCCTTTGTGGGACTGTGCTCTTACACAGTTTTGGGATTCAGCATGATGGAAGCAGCAATGACTGTGAGCCAGTTGGGAAAAGACCTTTCATCATGTCTCCACAGCTCCTGTATGACACGTCCCCACTCACCTGGTCCCGCTGCAGCCGGGAGTACATCACACGATTCCTCGAGTAAGTCCTTCCCTCCTCTTATTCCTCACTGGCGGGTGCTGGGGTGGCTCAGGGCTTGGGTCCACAGCAAGGAATGGACCCAGCTGATTTGGGCTGGATGGGATCCACCCAAGGGTGCTGAGGGAGCTGGTGGAAGTGCTCACCAAGCCACTCTCCATCATTTACCAGCAGTCCTGGCTAACTGGGGAGGTCTTGGTTGACTGGAGGTTGGCAAACATGACACTCATCTACAGAAAGGGCCAGAAGAATCCAGGGACTTACAGGCCTGCCAGCCTGACCTCAGTGCTGGGGAAGGTTATGGAGCAGATCATCCTGTGTCATCACACAGCACATACAGGACAACCAGGGGATCAGGCCCAGTCAGCGTGGCTTTATGAAAGGCATGTCCTGCTTGACTAACCCAGTCTCCTTCTATGGGGATTGTACTGGATATTGGGAACAATTTCTTTTCCCAAAGGGCTGTCAGGCCCTGGCCCAGGCTGCCCAGGGCAGGGGTGGAGTCCCCATCATGGAGGAATTTCCAAGCCCTGTAGATGTGGTGCTGAGGGACATGGGGCAGTGGTGGCCTTGGCAGGGCTGGGTTGATGATTGAACTGGATGATCTTCAAGGTCTTTTCCAACCCAAGCCATTCCATGATTCGGATTGCTCTCAGCCCAGGGCACATGGGTTTGCTTTTATCCTGCTGGGCTGCCCTGGTCCCCGCCATGAAGCAGCACAGGAGTTTGGGTGGTGGCACTGAGTTTGTGGCTTCAGCAAATAAAAGCAGAGTGGCTTTCCTCCAGGCTCTGTGCAGTTTTCTTCGTTGCTGTGCTCGGGGCAGCTGATGTTTGCCTGTGGGCAGGAGGCATCACGTGAGGAAAGGAGACCGAGCCAAATTCTTCCCTGCGTTTGTTTATTTTTAGCGCCCCATGGCTCATTATCCAGCCTGTTATTATTAAGTTCCTAGGAACACAGCCCAGAGATTCACATTTGTCAGCCAGAGGCTTGTGCTGGAGAAACATTTTCCTTCCTTGCTACAGGGAGGTTTGGTACCAGTGAAAGCATCAGCAAGGCAGGGTGATGGGGAGAGCTGGTCCGGCCATCCCGTGGTGGGGAGGATGCTGGGGCTGGGATCCCAGCTCTGCATCCCAGCCTGGGACATGGGGCCCAGCCCCTGTGCAGGGGAATTGGTGTTGATTTCTGCTTTCTGAGGAATGGCACTTTGTGGTCTGTGCAGCGTTCTTGGCCTTCTGCTTTAACCTTTGCTTTTTGATTGAGAATTTCCTGCTTGCGATGACCTTGGGCTGCTACGAGCTGTGATGGGAAAGAAACAGAGCAGCTGGAGGCTTCTCCAGTGGGGTTTTGGTCTCTTTGCTCCCCCCAAGGAGGGGCAGCTCTTCCTTAAGAGCAGAGCAGAGCCCAGCAGGCATCCTCCCTGGCTGTGACATCCCCCCAGCAAGGGAGAGACCAGTTGCCAGCACAGACATGAGTGAGCCGTAATACGGTGCTGGCAGGAGAACAGGAAGGAGTGAGCCAGAAAATGAGACCCTGCTGACCTGGGGTTGCTGGATATGCCTGGAACAGACCTTGCGGTGGGGGGAAAAAAAACAACCCCAAAAAGTAAAGCACTGTTGAAGGTGGTTGTTTTTTCAAAGGTATCTAATTTGCAAACGCTGCCCAGTGTTGAGGCATCTGAAAATGCTTCTTGTCATTGACGGCAGCACAGCCCCAGTGCTGTGGGTCAGGCCCTGGGTGCAGCCTGGCCTGGGAGACCCTCTTGGCAAGGCTGGGGGACAGGGTCTGCTGGAACACCCAGAGGTGATGGAAGAGGTCCCTTCCCTGCTGGTGGTGTCCCCGAAGAATGAGCACCCCTCATTCATGCTTAGGAGAAAGGCTGGCACAGGGCACGTGGTGATGCTCCTGTGGCAGAGGAATGTGGACCAGCCCTCTTTGCCATTCCCTGATTTTCCCCTCTGTCCCTCAGAGGAGTCAGAAGATGCTCTTTGCTCCCCACCCCTCCCTGTGACATGAGCTCTCTCCCAGCCCTGCTGGGGGAATGCCCCTGTGAAATGGGATCTGGTGTCCTGAGGATGCCCTGCCTGCACCACGAGCCTGTGATGGGGTGGAGCAGCCTCCCTCCATCTCCACTGGTTGTCTTGTCTCTCTTCAGTCTCTTCTGTAGATCAGGCCACTAGTTTTTCAGCATCTTTGCACAGTGCTGGAGGTCTTCCATCATCCTCCTTCCATGGGCTCCTTCCAGCTGATCCCACCTTCCCAAAATCCGGGGACCCCCAGCCCTGCCTGCTTCATCTCTCCTCTGCCTGTTCTGCCAGAGCCCCTGTTTGTGCAGCTGATCCTTCCCAAGCTCCAATCCTTGCCTTTGTTTTTATTGAATTCCATCCTGGCTTTTTGGACCCTTCCTCCAGTCCTCCAAAAGCTTTTGGAATTTTAATCCTGCTCTCAAGTGAATCTGCAGATCCTCCCAGCCTGCTCACAGATGGGGATTTCATCACCGAACCATCCACTCCATCATCCAGCTCATTAGCAAAGGGCCTGAAACAGGCATGCGCAGCACAGACCCTTGTACATTTTTACTGCAGATTGTGGTTTATTGCATATCCCTGCAAAGCCAGAGGGAAACTCAGGCCAATTTTTGCTGGCTCGGTAACATGTTTTGGCCGGTTGAGGAGACCAGTAGGATGATCGTAAAATTCTTAATGAAGAAATAGATTTTGAACACAGCCCTGGAAAGCTGACAGCAAACCGAAAAGTCATCCCCTGTAGTGGGACAGAGATCTGTCCCACAAGCTGGAGCAAGACAGAAAATGCATTGGGCAGATCAGAGGGCAAGGAGGGCTGGAGACAGTTTTGGGGTGACACGTGGAGCCCCATGTGCTGGTTCCTGAATTGGTGAATTCATCTCAGAGGGGCACCAGGGTCATGCAGGAGCCCAGCACTTAAACCTGGACTTCCACCAGTAAAGATGTAATTCTTTCAATTTTTAAATAAAATGACTCTTTGAAAATGTTTTCCAGCAAGAGGTAAAGCAAATCCCTCTGGAGGTGCAGTGCAGTGATCTCTGTGTGCCTGAAACAGGCTGTGCACAGTTCTGCATCCAGCTGCCCCAGGACTTGGGGACAGAGGCTTTCAAGCCCTTGAGCTTGCAACGTGTTCACTGACTTTCCAATAGGGAAGCTGCTTATAAAAAAATATAGATAAGGTATTTTAAAGGGCTGTCCCCAGCCCAGCGAGCTGTTTGCATGTGTCTGGCACGGACCCACCCACGGGGGTGGGATGGGACAGGGAGGAAGGGGTGCTGGTGCTGCAGGGCATCGTGCTGTGGCACTGCCAGCACCTCAGAGCAGGAGCAGTTCCCTGCCCCTGGCCCTTGTTTCCATGTTGCTGCTTTGGGCTAAGAAGGAATCTTGTTTCAAGTGAATTTAGCCCTGTTCCAAATCACAACAACCCGAAGTAATCTAATCTGCTGAGAAACCCCCGCCAGAGATTTTTGCCTTGCTGGGAACGAGTTTGTTTAAATCAACACTGAAAGCTGAACCAGTGACAATTTCTTCTGAGCTTGCGAAGTGTTGTAGTCCAGGCTGAGGGCTGAGCTGAGGACCTGCTTGCACCATGGAAACCCAGGGCATTATTCCTAGGGAAAATGGTGTTTCTGGATTTCCATCAGGGGAAGAGGGACGTGTCAGGGAGGAAAGGGGAGCATGCAGGGCACTGGCCTGGCAGCCCCGTGGAGAAGCCTTTGCCCCTTCGCCTGCCCCATAACCTGCCATGGTGGGGGCTATGGGGGTAATTGCTCTGTGAGCAGATACCCCCTGAAAAGCAGGGTACCCACATATGCTCATCCACACGCTGGAGTGGCTGCAGGGTTGGTTGGAGAGCCAGGGCTGTACCAGCTAGAAATGCTAATTGCTCCTCTTCATGGTGGAACACTAATGAGCCATTCAGCTCCTCAGTCAGCAGCTGCGGGAGGGCTGTGTGGCTGTGCCGGGCTGGGCTGACACCACTCTGCCCTCTCTCTTTCAGCCGGGGCTGGGGGCTGTGCCTGGATGACCTCCCAGCCCGGGAGGTGCTGGACTATCCCCTGGTGCCCCCGGGCGTCCTGTACGACGTGAGCCACCAGTGTCGGCTGCAGTACGGCCCCTACTCCACCTTCTGCGATGACATGGACGTAAGTCGGGGTCCTCCCTGACCTCACGTGGGCTCATGCAGCCCCGAGGGGCTCCCAGGGGTCAGGGGGCTTTGCCTGGGGTGATCCTCTCCCTCCAGGTTGGACTTGTGCCCATGGGTTGGTCGGTGCAGTAACCATGCCCTGTGGAACTGCGTTTTAGAATCATAGAATCATTAAGGTTGGAAGGGACCTTAAAGATCATCCAGTTCCAACCCCCCTGCCATGAGCAGGGAACCACTAGACCAGGCTGCACAAAACCTTGTCCAAGTTGGCCTTAAAATCCTCCAGGGATGGGGCAACAACAACCTCCCTGGGCAACCCATCCCAGTTCCTCACCACCCTTATAGTGAAGAATTTCTTCCTAATATCTGACCGAAATCTCCCCTCTCTCAGTTTAAAACCATCACCCCTTGTCCTATCCCAATCTTCTCTGATGAAAAGCCCCTCCCCAGCTTTCCTGTGGGCCCCCTTTAAGTACTGGAAGGTGCTCTAAGGTCTCCCTGGAGCCTTCTCCTCTCCAGGCTGAGCAGCCCAACTCTCTTTCCCGCAGAGCGTGTGCAGCACGCTGTGGTGCACGGTGGGGAACACCTGCCACTCCAAGCTGGACGCTGCAGTGGATGGCACAGCGTGTGGGGACAACAAGGTGACGGGGAGCAGTGCCCCCCTGGGCTGCAGGAAGGGGGGCTTGGGGAGCACCATGTGGGGTGTGTGGGGCAGAAGGACCAGCTCTCTGGGGCCAGTCCCAGTCACCCTTGCATGGGCGACGTACCAGAGCAGGGTTTTCCTGCTCAAGGTAGCATAAAACTATCGTTCTACAAATGTCTGCAGAAGTCTGCCTTCTCTAGGCTTAGTGTCCCCTCCCCTGGCCCCAGAGCACCAGGGATGACCCCGGGCTTTGCTGCTCCCTGCAAAAACCCCTGCTGTGCCTTTGTCCTGCTGGCGCTTCCCCCTGGGCTGAGGTTGGGCTATGGGTCTCCTTGCTGCGGGGGTCTCAGTGGGGGTTTGGGTCTGTTGCCTCCTGCAAATCCTCAAGCAGCCCAACATCTCAGCCTGTCCCACTCTTGGGGGTGCAGGCCCAGGCACCTCCCTGCCAGCACAGCGTGGAGTTCCGGGGAGCAGGGGGGCGACGCGAGTGCTCGGTGCTCCCCGCCGTCGGGCTTTCTGAGGTGACACCAATTAATGCATCTTGAAAACCTTATTTTCTCCCCTTCCGGCCTGTCCCTCTGCAGTGGTGCTTCAACGGCGAGTGCGTGCCCGTGGGCTACCGGCCGCAGGCCATCGACGGCGGCTGGGCCTCCTGGAGCTCCTGGGCCGGCTGCTCGCGCAGCTGCGGGGCGGGCGTGCAGAGCGCCGAGCGGCACTGCAGCAGCCCCACGTAAGCCCGGCCTTGCCCCCCACCGCCCGCCCGGGCCCCCTGGGGAGAGGAACCCAAGGCTTTATTGCCCAAAAAAAGCTGGGGGCCATCCCCTGGGCAGAGGCGCCCTGCCCCTGTCTGCGCTGTGCGGCAGGACGGGGCTTTGGAGCCCTCAGGATCCATTTCATGGGGGGATCCAGCTGGGTGGGCAGTGGAAGCCTCTGGAGGGGCCAAGGTTATAGAATCCCAAACTGGTTTGGGTGAGAAGTGACCTTAAAGACCATCCAGTCTGAACCCCTGCCATGGGCAGGGACACCTCCCACCAGCCCAGGCTGCTCCAAGCCCCATCCAACCTGCCCTTCAACACTGCCAGGGATGGGGCAGCCACAGCTTCCCTGGGCAACCTGGGCCAGGCTCTCACCACCCTCACAGCCAAGAATTTCTCCCTCAGATCTCATCTCAGTCTCCTCTCTTCCAGTTTTCATCCATTCCCCCTCATCCCATCCCTCCCTGCCCATGTCCCAAGCCTCTCCCCAGCTTTCCTGGAGCCCCTTCAGGCACTGGAAGGTGCTCTAAGGTCTCCCCCTGGAGCCTTCTACTCTCCAGGCTGAACACCCAAAACTTTCTCAGCCTGTCTCCAGAGCAGAGCTGCTCCAGCTGTGTAATCTGGGTCCCAGGTCAAGAGCTACGTTTGTGTTTGACATGAGTTCTGTGGCAGAAGTGCAGTTGTAGTTTATGGAGTGTGTTAAACACAGCTGTGGGCGGGCAGGAGAGCAAACACGGGAAAAGCAGCAGAACTTCCCCAGGCAGTTGTTTGCTTTGGCCACCAAAGGTAAATCTTCAGCTTTGCCTTTTGGATGGAGTGAACATATGTGAGTGCTGGGCAGTCCTCCTCCCACAGGCATTTCCTCAGGGCAGGGTATGTAAATACAACCCTAAAATAATAATTAACTTTATTCTCTTCAGCAAAGCGTGCCCAGATGTAACTGATCCAGGGGAAAAGTGGGCTGTGGAGAGTGCCATGTCCAAAGGACAAGGCAAGCATCCTGAGGTGGTGGCCGTGTTTTGAGAGCCTGTTTGTTGGCATCTGAGAAATAATTATTCTTGCTTTTAAAGTCTTTCTTACTTGAAAAAGTCCAGCGGCAGCCTTGCTGTTCACTTGGGCAGCAGAGGAGCAGTTGGAAGCACATCCCAGGTGGGATGGAGAGCAGCTCCTCTGGAGCAGCCACAGAACAAGCACCTGGCTCGTTGGGCTGGTGGGAGCACGGGGACCTTGTCAGCCACAGCACCCGGGATGGGGAGGGAGATGTTTCACCACAGCAGCAGGGAGCTGGTCCAGGAGGAACCTGGGGAAGAGAGGTGTGGGCCCAGTTTCCAAGCGTTTCAGAAGCTTGCTCTGTGAAGTGGGGAACCTTCTGGCGGGTATGGTGGGTTCATTGCCAGCTTCCTTACACAACAGTGCAACAGAGCCATGCGTGTGGGTTTTAACTGGGAGAGCTCCCTGGTGAGCCCAGGTAGACTCAGCCTTGACCCAACCTCACAGGATCAAATCTTAGCAGCAGGCACAAAATTAGCCATGAATAAAAAAGGAGTTTCTCCTTGGGTGTAGTAAGTCTTTGATAGGACAGGGGATAGTTTCAAACTGAAAGAGGAGAGATTCAGATTAGATATAAGGAAGAATTTTTTTATGATGAATGTGCCGAAACCCTGGCCCAGGTTGCCCAGAGAAGCTGTGGCTGCCCCATCCCTGGCAGTGTTGAAGGGCAGGTTGGATGGGGCTTGGAGCAGCCTGGGCTGGTGGGAGGTGTCCCTTGCAGGGAGATCGGACTGCATGATCTTTAAGGTCCCTTCCAACCCAGGCCCTTCTGTGATTCTCAGTCCCTTTTCCCTCCCATGGACAGACCCAAGTACGGCGGCAGGTACTGCCTGGGGGAGCGGAAGCGGTTCCGGATTTGCAACGTCAGGCCGTGTCCCCCCGACAAGCCCTCCTTCCGCCAGGTCCAGTGCAGCCAGTTCAACCCCATGCTCTACAAAGGGAAGCTCTACAGGTGGACACCAGTGCCCAACAACAGTGAGTGGAGGGCAAAGCCCACTGCGGGTTCTGCCTGCAGCCCCAGTGCCGATCCTGAGCCTGGTTGTGCTCTCTGCCTCTGTAGGATTTGCCTTGCAGCGTGTTTATTGCCGTATTGTGAATTATGACTGGGCTTGCAGGGTTAATTAATGTTTTCGGAGATGGCTACGTGGCCTCCAGCTGCTCGGGTTTAGTTTCTGCCTGTTGGGTTCCCCAGTTAACCCCTGCGAGCTGCACTGCCGGCCCGAGGACGAGTACTTTGCGGAGAAGCTGCGGGACGCGGTCATCGACGGGACGCCCTGCTACGAGATGAACGCCAGTCGTGACATGTGCATCAACGGCATCTGCAAGGTGAGCCCGTGGGGAGGGAGCCCAAGGGCCCCCGTGCCCAGGGAAATGTCAGCAGGTCCCTGAGGAGCTGACCACTGTCCCCTCCTGCGTGCACCAACGGGCTGAGCTTTCTCATTTTGTGGTTCAGCACTCAGAGGGCTTTCCTGAGCTCCATGAGATACGTGGCATGGACATATTTCAAGGAAATAGAGTACAAGGATGTTTCAAGGATGTAGTTCCTGGGTGTCAGGAACAATTTCTTTTCCCAAAGGGCTGTCAGGCCCTGGCCCAGGCTGCCCAGAGCAGAGGGGGAGTCCCCATCATGGAGGAATTTCCGAGCCCTGTAGATGAGGTGCTGAGGGACATGGGTCAGTGGTGGCCTTGGCAGGGCTGGGTTGATGGTTGGACTTGATGACCTTAAAGGTCTTTTCCAATCAGAACAATTCAATGATTCTATGAAACAGACAAGCAGTGCCAAGGACCAAGGAGCTTTCCCAGCTCAGCTCAGGTCAGCAAATAACATGTGCCCACAGGCTCTGCTGCCCGTGGACTTGGGTTGGAAAAGGTATGTGGGTTGTGCTCCTTGCTGCCTGTGACCAGGACATGTTAGATTGAGGAACCCATATTGCTGCCCAAGTTTCAAAAAGACTCCATCTTGCCCCACGGTCCTTATTTCCCACCGTTTAGGACCAAGGCTGGTCCTTCTCTCCCTGGCTGGGCCCGCGTTGGCGGGGCTGGGGTACGGGGGCTGACGGGGCTGCCTTGCAGAACGTGGGCTGCGACTACGAGATCGACTCCAACGCGGTGGAGGACCGGTGTGGTGTCTGCCACGGGGACGGCTCCACCTGCCACACCATCAGGAAGACCTTCGAGGACAGCGAGGGGCTGGGGAAGGGGGCTCGGCTGCATCCCCAGGTCACCAGCTGCCTGTGCCATGCCGGGCCAGGCTGGCTGCTGCTCCTCCTTCACAGTGTGGCTTTTAATCCCAACTTGTTCAGTTTTGATGGGATGAGACCCACGTGGCAGCCTGGGGAGATGGGGTGTTGCCATTCCACTTCTTGCTCTTCAGGAGTAAAAATATCCCCTTGTGCTTCTTGTGTCTAGAGGCCTGAAAGCAAACGTGTGCATGCTGGAGCTGGTGTGGAGAGGTTCATGGGGGCTTTGTGGGTTGACAGGAACATGTTGAACATGTGGTTAAACACCTTGTCAGCTCCTGAACTCTTGCTCTGCAGTGGGCTCAGTGCAAGGAGGGGTTTGGTGCCTGCTGGGGCCTCACACAAAGGTGTAAGGATTGACATGATGCTGGCACCCGAGGGACACTGTCACCCACCCAAGGGACACCAGCAGCATCCTCTCTGCCGCCTCTTTGGCTCCCCTGAGAGTGATTCTTGGTTCCATTCCCAGGTTACGTCGATATTGGGATTATTCCTGTGGGAGCCCGGGAGATCCGGATCGAAGAAGTCGCAGAAGCTGGGAATTTTCTCGCGCTGAGGAGTGAGGACCCAGAGAAGTACTTCCTGAATGGAGGCTGGACCATCCAGTGGAACGGGGACTACAGGGTGGCAGGGACCACCTTCACCTACAAGAGGACAGGGAACTGGGAGAACCTCACCTCCCCGGGGCCCACTGTGGAGCCCGTCTGGATCCAGGTACGCTCTGGGCTGTGCTGGTGGGGAGGCCGGGGGGCAGAGCCTCCAGCTGTCCTGCCTTCCCGTGTGGGGCTGCACTGCCAAGGGCCATCACAGCACTTCACTGCCATCCAAGGGGTGGGGACACATTTCTCAACATCGGGAGCAGCCAAACACATGCTGCTGGTCCAAGGAGTGTGCTTCCAGCCCACACCACTTCCAGCTGAGCCTTGTCTCCTCTGCAGCATTCCTCAATATTTACACAGCAGGGAGAGTGTAAAGAGAATGAGCCCTTTTCCTGAGGCCTTCCCCAGATTTTACCAAGAGCAGGGGAAGAGCCCATGGGGCTTCTGGCAGGGCTGGAGCAGCTGGTGGGAGCTGGGAGCTGTGGTGGTGCCATGCACAGCAGCAAAGGGTGGCCCAGTGGCCCTACTTGGCAATGCCATGGGTCCCCCAGCCCCCATGTCATTGCCACCCTCCTACCGGTGCCATGTTCCCCTCAGCAGTGCTGGGGTGAGGGGCTCAATCCCTGGGTCCTGCTCTGTGGTCCAAACCCAGGTAATGCTGCACAGGGTGCTGCAGATCAGGCTCTGCTTCCTCACCAAAGCCCTTGAGGCAGAGGGTAAAAATCCTGAGGGAACATTTGAAATCCTCTGAAACAACTAGGAATGTCAAGTTTTACTCTTCTTTGCACTGCTCTGGAAATTGCCTTAGTTTGTAAATTAATTTTCACCTTGTTTCCAGGAAAAAGAGTTGCCTGGGACTAATTTCAGGGTGGTTTTATGTTTCAGTGAGCTTTGCAGGAGCCATAGCTGCCAGTGGCAGGGGCAGTGAAAGGCTGTGCCCGTCTCTGCCCTTCCTTCCCAAGGATGGTCAGGAGTGAGGAATCTGCCTGTTAATGCAGAGGTGTCGGGAGCCAACATCCTCATGCCAGGGAGGCCAAGCTTTCCCCTGGAGAAGCTGGGAATTGTCCCCTGGGTGATGGCACAGCCAGCAGCTGGCTGAAATTCCTTGTGGTGCCAAGTGTGGTGCAGAGGTGGTGGCCGCCACAGAGGTATGTCCCCAGGCCATCCCAGCTTGGCCCAGTGCACTCCTCCCTTGGCAGAGGCTCGCCCTGGAGCCCAGCCACACCGCCCAGCCACGCCGCCCCGCCAAGCTCTTCCCTTTTGCCTCCCTTTCAGCAGAGGCTGAGGATGAAATGTGAGCAGGACCCTGGGCTCCTCTGCCGCCAAGTGCTGCTGTTAACGGGAGCGCTGGCGTGCTCGGCACCCGCCGGTCATTTCCTGGGATTCCTAACCTAATTAAAAGCTTTTGACAGAAATGTTTGGATATTCACAAAGAGGTTCTGGAAAGACGCCCTCGTTCCTCCCGGAGCTCCAAGAACAACAAAGCTTTGGCAATAATGGGAGTGCTTAGGCTAAGAAAAACAAGGTTCAGCTCCTGGCCTTTGCCAGGCACTAGTGCAGGAGGTGCTTTGGGCAGGACTTGGGTCAACCCCAGGAGCTGCTTCGTGCCTGCTGAGAGCAGTTGGAAGCCCCTTCAAGGGGGGAGCAATTAAGGAAACTCTCTCGAACACGCAGAGCCAAGGGCTTTGATTCCTTCTCTACAGGGCCAGACTCATCCTGCCATCCCTTTCCTTCCTTCTGCCCCATCCCAAAGGGCAGGTCAGTGTGGCTGACGTCCACCTCAGTGTCCATCCATCCAGGCCATCCACCTTCAGTCCAGCAGACAAGGCTTGGAGCAGCCAGAGCTCCCTTCAGCTGTAGCATCCCTCACTGAGAGGTCAGGGAGGGAGATGGAAGGAGGTAGACAGGGCTCGACATGCTTCCAGCCAGTGGGAGCAAGCAGTGGGTCTGTCCTGTGGAGAGGGACATTCCTGCCCCATGTGTGCAGACCCTGGGGCGGGCTGGAGTCAGGAACGGCACATGCAAAACCTCCTGCCCTGGCTCCAACAGGGAAGGGGACATCTGGCCATCCTGGACCCTGCTGCACCCCAGCAAGAGCTGGAACCATCGCTGTCCCCTGCCAACAGACAGTGCAAGGGGACAGTCACAGAATCACAGAGTGTCCCTGGCTGGAAGAGACCTCCAAGATCATCCACTCCAGCCCTAGACCTAATAGCACAAGCTCCCCACTAGACCATGTCCCTGAACACCAGGTCCACATGCCACAACCATGTCCTTGTGGCCGCGCCAGGCAGGGTCTTGCCTCCTGAGCATCCCCTGGGTGGCAGGGGCTACTCCCCCCCTGACCACCCGCTGTGCCCCCGACAGCTGCTGTTCCAGGAGACCAACCCCGGCGTGCGGTACCAGTACACCATCCAGCGCCCGCCCGACAGCGAGAACCAGCTGGAGCAGCCCGAGTTCCTCTGGCGCTTCGGCTCCTGGACCTCCTGCACCGCCACTTGTGGCACCGGTGAGCTCGCACCCCCGCCAGGAGCAGGGGAGCACCCCTGTGCTGCAGCCATCCCGGAGAAATTCCTGGGAATTCTTTGTGTTCGGGAAGTCTTGGGCTGGGGGAAAAAAAGCGCGACCCCGGCTTTATCAGCACTTCGCTCCTCGCTCGGGGGCCTGTTCCTGCACCGGGTGTTCTCAGCGTCAGGGTGATGGAGACAAAAGAGCTTTAGAGAAATCTAGGGAGTTTGGAAGAGCCTGGCTTGGCTTCTCCAGGGCGGGGTGGGTTCCAGGGTTTTATGGAGAGCCCATTGGAGGGTTCCCGGTGTGGGCAGAGCTCCAGGGTCCTGCGCTGCCCTGTGCACACTTGCTTTCCTCCTCCTGCCTCACTTCCCTGCTGGCCAGTTGTCCAGGAGCCCCCAGGGCAGCTTTTGGGGTGGCTGATTGTGAAGAACGGCCCTTCTTCTCCCCCCACATAGGACTGGAGGGGGATGGTCTGGGCATGCTGCAAGGGGGGAGGCTGTGACCAGCGAGCGCTTCCTCGAGAGCATCTGCTGCTAAAAAAAAGGGAATTCAAGGACACTCATCCCTTCTGGGGCAGCACAGGGTGCCAGGAGATGTTTCCTGCTTGTCCTGGGAGGTGGGTGTGGATCCTGCCCAGAGCAGGAGGGCTGGGATGTGGCAGGAGCTGGCAGGGCCTTTACACAGACTTGCACCAAGAGCTCTTTGCTGTGGTTTTGCACGGGCACCTGCAACATTGCAGTGTGGGGAGAGGAGGAGAACAGGAGCTGAGGGCATGGGCTTGTCTGCACAAGGTTTGGTTGCTCGGCTTCCAGAGCGGAAGGAGAATCCAAGAGAGAGTGGAGTGAGGATGCTCACTCTGTCTGGGTGCAGACGGGTGGCTGGAGGAGGGCTGAGCCCCTCGCTGGCCAGAGCAGAACTCAGCAGTTCAGCTGGGCCGTCTCAACCCCAGCTGATAGCAGCAGTTAATATTTACAGCTCTCCCAAGTCATGGGTCAAGTATGTGTTGCACTAAGGAGGACAAAGGCAGGCAGTGAGGCTACGTGTCCAGCGTGAGGTCACCCTGCAGTGTCACCCTGCGAGCACAGCAGAGCGGGAGGCGGGTGGTTTCTCCATGAGCTGTAGCAGGAGGTTGCCCAAAAAGGACAACATTGCTCCATCCATTCCTGTCATTCTCCAGCCCAGTTGAGCTCTGTAGGTCTTATCAGACAAGTGTCCGATCAAGGTCGGGTGTCCAGCTCTGCTTTTCCCACCTGGGTGCACTGGGAGCACTGGTGCCATTGGGCTCCCTGAGGCCATCAGTCCCTCAGCAGAAGTGCGCTCTCCGCTTCCAGTTTCACTGGTGGTTTCCTTTCCCTTCCCCTGGTTTGGGTGGCTCAGGCTCATCTTGGGGCCTCCTGTCACTTGTGGGTGGAGGGTGCTGGGTGTCTGGGTCCCTGCCTGGGTGCCAGCCCCGCTGTGTCCGCAGGGGTGCAGCGGCAGGTGGTGCACTGCGTGGAGAAGCTGGCTGGCATTGTGGAGGAGCGGTTCTGTGATGCCCTCACCCGCCCTGATGACCAGCAGAGGACCTGCAGCGAGGAGCCCTGCCCAGCCAGGTCTGTGGGCTGTCCCCTCACCCTACTCCCATCCCGGACACACCATGGGAACCAGCCCAGCCCTGACCCCTTGCCCAGCACCCTGACCTGGGACTGAAACAGAACCACGGTTGGGACCCTCATTTCCCACGACTGCAAATCCCCACTGACTGTTACAGGCTGCTGAAGCCCATCAGCATCTCCTGAACATCTCCTGGCCCCAAACTCCTCTTGGTTGGTGGTGTGGGGCACAGCACAGAGCCTGGCTGGTAGCTGAGGCATCTCCTCTTCCACATGTCCCCAGGTGGTGGGTCGGCGAGTGGCAGACGTGCTCGGCCACGTGCGGCCGGTCGGGGCTGATGAAGAGGACGGTGCTCTGCATCCAGAGTGTGGGGGTGGACGAGCAGAGGGCCTTGCAGCAAGCAGACTGCCAGCACCTCTCCAAGCCTGCTGCCACCGCGCCCTGTCATCAGGAGGTCCCCTGTCCCTCCCAGTGGGCTGTAGGGAACTGGTCAGAGGTGAGAAGGAGTGTCGGGGAGGTCCCAGTGTTTTGCAAAGCTGGTAGGAGCTGGGGACAAAGTGCTCCCAGAAAGCCCACAGCCTGCCTGAGAGCGGTGAGCATGCTCCTGCTTCTGGGGAAAAAATGTCTCTGTGGGCTCCTGAGGCACCAGCTCACGTGAATGGGATTTTCATGGCATGGGGAGGTCTCAGAGTGAGGAAGGAGCACACAGGGCTGTTTGACTCTGCCCCATCTCTGAACACTGCAGCATCCTCAGTCAGGGTGATGGCCACGGCCTGTGCTGGATGCTGGGGGGGCAGAAACAAGAGGTTTCCAACCCTTTGATGTGTTTTCCAGCACCACAAGCCTTCCCCTTCGAAGCTGCCCCATCTCTGTGCAGGGGCTGGGCAGAGACAGAGATGATCCTAGGGAATGGAGGAGCCATCACAAGTTTTTAAATGCATCATTTAAAAAGAGGAGAGAGAAAAAAATCAACCCCTGTATAAAATGCCACAGTCTGCAGACACCCCGTGTAGCTGATTTGTTTGTTTTTGTAGGTCTGTGGATCAGCTTTACCGCAGGTTGAGGGTTTTAACCAGAAAATTACAATTCCTAATTTAAGCTGTGGTTTCAAAAAGTGTTCGGTGTGAAGACAAGTGGTGGGAGAGAAATGAGAGAGCCTGGGAACTGAGCTTGTTGCTAAGAAACAAACGGGAAAAAAATGCGAACAGAAAATTTGAAGGCTAAATGAGAGCTATTTAGAAATATTTTTCTAGGGCCCCACAAAAGCCACAATTGCAGGGCCGAGAGAGACGGGGCCGAGAGATTAAAGGGGAAATCCTGAATTGCCCACGGGTGTGTGCTGTGCCTGGAGCCAGCCCAGCCACCGCCGAGCCTGTGGTGTTGGCACGGACAGATCTGTGAGCCCAGGAGAAACACGCTTGGGGTTCTGAGATGTCTGTAATTTGTCTGTCCTTCTTTATTTTAAACAGGGAGCTCTCCCTCTTCTCCGTTTCCCCCACCACCAGTAAGCAGAGAAATTTGAAGGGTTTGGGAGCTTCCCAGGAATGTGGCCCTTCTGGCCAGAAAAATTATAGGGGCTTGTTGCCTTTTTTTGTACTTGCCAGCCCCGTGGCACCAGCAGCGCCCGGGCAGCCTGCGCGGCCCCAGGGGCTCGTTGCAGTTTGGGCAGCCCAACAAAGTGCTTCAGCACTGGGACTTACTGCCTGCAGAAGGACCTTGGAGCAACGTATGTCCAGCTTTATGGACTTTCCAAGGAAGCTGGTGCAGTCAGAAGTATTATTTGTTGTCCATTAATGCACAGTCTCTTGGTCAGAGCACGTCCCACCCTGCAGCCTGCTGTGATGCCTCCAGCAGTTGTGTGCTTGGTGCTGAGGCCTCCTGCGAGCTCTGGGTGTTCTTCCACAAGGCTCCCAACAGCCACAGTCTCTTATCTGTGGCCCAGAGGCTTTCCTGATAACCAAGCCTTGGCAAATAAGCCTCCTCCTTCCCCCTGCAAGAGCTGAAATACCTGGTCTTTATCTCCTGGATGCAGCTGGAGGCATTTGCTGAGAAATTTTAGCTGAAGGTGCACACTGTGGGTGTTGATCTCTGCTTTCCCTGATTTGGCCACCCCAGCAGGGAGAAGCAGTTTGCTTGCACCCCTCCTGCAGATGTTAATCTGCAGTAATGGTTTATGGTGGCTGTGGATCAAACCCTCCCCCAGCCCATCCCTGTTTGCCCAAATAGCAGGGATTTCAGCAGCAATCCCCTCTGCTGGGCTTGTTTGCCTCCTTGACTGTTGGTTCTCCTTGGCTGGGTCTGCAAGGCTCTCTGATGGCCGTGAGGAGCACTCTGTGTGTCACCACCAGCAGCAGCAGCCAGAGGCCTGTGCAGCCCACATCTGATGGGAGTAGCTCTACAATCTGCTTATCCAGCAGAAAATGTTGCTGTCCTTCTTGCCAGCTTGTGGGTTTCTTTTATTCTGAGCAACCTCAAAGAGGCCATTATGGTGGAGGAGGGGGTGTCCTCAACAAAACTGCTTATTGACCTTTGCTTTTTTCCTACAAGGACAACAACATGTCATTATCCCCTGCTTCAAAAGATTCTCTTCTAGAAGAAGAGATGCAATTCATGGTGATAGGTCACATAAAAGAGCTATTAGGTCATCTTACCCAATGCCCTTCACAATGTCCATCTCCCGGGAAAATTATTTCTGGCTGGAGTGAAGGTCAAGGATCACCCTGAGCAAAGTGCCCTGGGATCCCAGCCCTGCACAGGGAGACAGCCCCAGAGGTGGCTTTGGCTGGTGATAACACTGCTCACCAGTGTGAGTGGTGCCCCTTGCTCCCTGTTCCTGGCTCAGGGGAGCCCCAGGCAGGAGTCACAGGAGACATCTTGGGGTGGGTGGTGGGAAAGTGACATGGAGCCCCTTCACCCTGTACCCAAAGCATCATGGTGGACAGTGGAGCACATGCTTTGTTATCACGAAATCATCAAATCATTCTGGTTGGAAAAGGCCTTTAAGATCATTGAGACCAACCAGTAACCTCATCTGGTTGGGGTGGAGCCGTGAGGGGTATGGGCACCTCTGCAGCCCCCTCCCCACTCCTCCTGCTGCCCCCACATCACCCATCCCTGCTGTTTGTGTCTCTTCCTTTCCCAGTGCTCTGTGACCTGTGGAAACGGGACCCAGAGACGCCCAGTTTATTGCAGCAACAGCACCGGGGCTGCCTGTGACCCTGTGGAACGACCCAGCTCAGAAAGTATCTGCTCCTTGCCGCAGTGCCAGAGGAAACTGGACACCAGCAGCGACTGGTCTGGCAGTGGGTCCTCCAGCAGAGAGATATTCAATGAAATCCATTACATCCCCAGCAACCACATTACTAAATTTAACTCCTTAATTCCAAGTATTCCCCAGTCCAATGATGTCAATGTCATCACTGAGGAGGACTTCTCAGACAGAAAGGGAAATGTCTTTGTTGATGATTTTTACTACGATTATAATTTTATCAACTTCCACGAGGATCTGTCTTACTATCCCTTCATGGAGAAGGAGACCAGAGGTGAGGAGCCTAAGCCAGAGCTGAGCACCAACGACGTGGAGGGGCCCCGTGAGATGCCTGCTGGTGAACTGCACACCATCAAGCCTGGAGGAGAAGCACGAGAGGACTCTCTGGTAACCAGCAAAGCAGATGCTTCTGTTGCTGTGCATGGTGGAGGAGAGATGGAGCCTGGGGATTTAGCCATGAATGACCTCCTAAGCGTGGTCCCCAAGGATGCAGGGACAGCTGCTCCCAAATACACCATCCCTGGCTTCATGGGTGAGGAGGAGGATGCAATGCTCGTGCCCCATTCTGAGGACCACCCGCCCACCCAGAGCACCTTAAGCCATGATTCTGCAAACAGCCATGACCACCCACCCCTGGGTGAGCCCTTGGGAGCCATGCCAATGGGGAGCAGTCCTGGGAGGGATGCTCCAGCCCATGGCCTTGCTCCCAGGGCTCCTTCCCAGGCTGGTTCCCACTCCCTGCTGCCAGTCTGGGGGGGCAGCACTGGCACAGACACGCCTGGAGGTCTGGGAGAGCCAGGGAGCAGCGGCGAGGGACGGGCGAGCATGGAGGGGCTGGGGACCACCAGCAGTGAGGAGCAGGAGGTGGCTGGTTCTGCAGGGACAGGCCATGAAGATCCAAGGGAAATGGATCTTGTCATCACCGGTGATACTGATGGTGCTGCCCCCTGGACCAGGGGGCAGGACAAGTGGGCACAAATGCCAGAGGGGACTGCAGGCACTCATGCAGGGCCACAGGGCAAGCAAGGCCATGGGACAGAATGGGCAGATCTGTTCTTCCCCACCCCACAGGGATTGGGGTGGGAGATGGGAAGGAGCTCTGCCAGTCCCCATCCTGCTGCCAGTCCCCATTCCACAGGTGCTGGGGGCCCTGTGGGGCTGGCAGGGCTCCACACCCCCATGTCCCTGACCTTGGCCCCCTTGGTGGCTACTCCAGCCTTTCCACCAGCAGTGTCCTTGTCCCCTGGCTTCCCTGGGCCAGCCACCCAGCTCACATCCAGTGGCCTCACCCAGCAAGATGCCCTGTCACCAGCCATGCCCACATCTCCAGCTCACAGCCCTCCTGCATACCTGGGGGGAGCATCTCCCTCCAGGTCTCCCCCATCGTGGTGGAGCATGGGGATGTCCCAGCACCTGGAGCCAGCATCACCCCGTGCCCAGCAGACCCTGCTCCGCAGCACCGTGCCAGGGCAGCGCTCACTGGGGACAACCCCAGGGACATCTGATTTCAGTGATGGGGAGCACGAGTTACCCCAGCCCACCCCTGCCCCCCTGCCACGCTGGGAGAAGGAGGAGAGGGAGAAAGAGGACGAGGAGACTTTGCTTCTACCATCGACCACCATGGCAGCCGCTGTGACACCCAGCTGGGAGGTTGGGAACTGGAGCGAGGTATGTGTGTCCCATTAATGCATGAGGTGGCCAGTATGGAGGGTGGGACCAGTCCCTCTGCTGATGGTCTCTGGGGCATTGCCCCTGGCATGCAGAAATCACGCATGGCTCACACATGTCCCCCCCGTCATGGGGGAAGCGATGAGCTGAGTCCCCAGGGACCTTTCTCCTGGGCCACTGGGCTGCATCCTTGGCCAGAGCCAGCCATGGGGCATCAGGGCATCAGGACCACCATGGTCCAGCCCCGCTGTGCTGGCAGGAGAGGAGAGGAGCAGGTGTCTGTGTTGCAGTGCTCGGCCACCTGCGGCGTGGGCGCGGTCTGGCGGCCTGTGCGCTGCAGCAGCGACGCCGGCTGCGCCGCCGCCAACAAGCCCGTCCCTGCCCGGAGGTGTTCCCTGAGACCCTGTGCCACCTGGCGTGTGGGGAACTGGAGCAAGGTAAGCGGGGGTGCAGCCCGAGGGGTCCTAAAAATCCACCAAAAAACAGTGCCTGCCCTGTGGCCGGAGCGTTCCTGGTTCCCGGGCTGTGCTCTGGCCTCGTGGCTCTAGCCATGGACTAGAGGAGGAGTAAAGAGGTTGGGTACCAACTCTATCCAGCCCAAGGCAGAATGTGTCTCTGGAGTCACCTACTGCCAGAGAGATTCCTGGTTCACTGGCCACTGCTGCCCTTTCCCAGTTTGATGCTCTTGTTGTTTCCCAGTGCTCCCGGAGCTGTGGCACTGGGATGAAGGTTCGGGACGTGCATTGCATTGACACCAGAGACCAGAGACTCCTCCGACCCTTCCACTGCCAGGCTGTCCTCTACAAACCTCCAGCACAGCTGCCCTGCCAGGGCACTCCGTGCCTGGACTGGTACACGTCCTCCTGGAGGGAGGTAGGGGCTGCTGGGGAGGGGGGACAGCACTTGACCCCTGAGTGTTGCAGCAGGGCTTTGTCCCCAGCTGGGCACGTGCCTGTTTCCCACCCTCCGATGTTTCCCCTCTCCCTGGGAGCCCATTTGGTGTTTGCTTGCCTGGAGCTCAGTGGTTGGGGCTGGGGGGCTGAACTGCCTGCAGTGATCTGCTTCACTGGACCCCCCCCCGATGACTGCCAGGGGGGAGGCATCAGGCTCTGCCTGCCTCTTCCCACACCTGCCAAACCCAGGCAGATACCTGGGGCAGACCCTCCTGCCCCTGGGAGCCTCCCAGCCAGTTTGCAGTCCCAGGAAGGAAAGCAGGCACTGATAGCAGGGGTAGCTGCAGGGGGGAGTCCACCTGGGGGTGAGTTTGTGTGTCTTCAGGGAGGTTTTGCAGTGTACCAACCTAAGACACCAACTCCCGGGCTGGGTCTGCCTTTGTCTGGCCCTGCTGGCTTCTCCTTCCCATGTCCCATGTCCCGCAGTGCTCGGAGTCCTGCGGTGGCGGGGAGCAGCAGCGGCTGGTGACGTGCCCGGAGCTGGGACGTTGTGAGGAGACACTACGGCCCAACACCACCCGGCCCTGCAACACCCACCCCTGCACCACCTGGGTGGTGGGCTCCTGGGGAGAGGTGAGCAGGCACGAGCAGGAGCAGGTGGCTCCTCTCCAGGGGACTCTGCAAGAAATGCGAGGAACAGGGGAGGAAGTTTGCTGGAGTCCCCATCATAAGAAAGACATGGAGATATTGGAGAGAGTCCAGAGGAGGCCACGAAGATGATCCCAGGGCTGGAGCAGCTCTGCTCTGGAGACAGGCTGGGAGAGTTGGGATGCTCAGCCTGGAGAAGAGAAGGCTCCAGACTTCAGATTTAAAGATTTATGTTTCTGGAGGCAACTCATCCAGCAAAAAGCATCTGATAGACTTTGCAGCAATGAGGTGGCCACCCAGAGCGTGGCCGTGGGGGAGGATGCAACGCATGGAGAAGACCAAGGGCAGAGAAGTCCTTCCTGACTGCTCCAGAAAAACCAACCAACCAACATAACTTCATTCCTCTTCAGTTGGCAATTTGCCACCCAAAACCATCTCCTCTGGGAAGTGGCCCAGACCAAAGACCAAGGATGAAATGCTTCAAGCACCAGGAGTGATGATGGAACACAAGCAGCTCACCAGGATGGATTTTAAGACCATGTTTACCAGGAGCTGTGACTCAAAGCAGAAGTAGCAGCAGCCACAGCTTCAACCTAGGGAAGAACACTCCTGAGAGGGACTTTTTACAAGGCCATGTAGTGACAGGACTAGGGGAAGGGTTCCAAGCTGAAAGAGAGGAGATTGAGATTGGATATTAGGAAGAAATTATTTGCCATGAGGGTGGTGAGACCCTGGCCCAGGTTGCCCAGGGAAGCTGTGGCTGCCCCATCCCTGGCAGTGTTGAAGGAGCAACCTGGGCTGGTGAGACATGTCCCTGTCCATGCAGGGGGTTGGATCTAGATGATCTTTAACCACCCAAAGCAGTCTGGGGTTCTGCCCCACCGAGTTCTGGCGCTGCTGGCACAGCCCCCCGTTGGGGGTGGCTCCCCTGGGCTGACAGGGCTGTTCCCTCCCGCAGTGCTCGGCTCCCTGCGGCACGGGCGTCCAGCGGCGCCAGGTGAAGTGCATCAACACCAGGACGGGGCTGGCAGAGGAGGACAGCAGCCTCTGTGACCACGAGCCCCGGCCCGACAGCACCCAGAAGTGCAACCCCCAGGACTGCCAGAGCTCCGAGTCGGGTAAGCGAGTGGTGCTCCGCGGCCCTTCTGCCCTCCTGGAGGCTGGGTGCTTCATCTCTGGTCTGGCTGTGCTCTGGGTGTGTGGGCTGGTTGGGGTAAATGCTGCATTTTCGAGGACATGGGGATAGTGGTGGATACCGGTGTGAAAGGCACCAGGATCTTGGTTAAGGGGTAGAGTAGGTGGCTCCTCCATCAATAGCTTTACAGAGGAGTGATGCATCGTCCTCCACCACCATCCTCTGCTGGGAGGGGACCTTCCTCCCTGGCACAGCAGCAGTGAGGGCTGAGGCAAGTTTAGACTCATCCTTTATTTTTCTTCTCCCACCTCTCACCAAGAGCAAGTCAGAGCAAAGACCAGTTCTCCATCCACCATCTTTGGGTATGTCTGGGCAGATGCTCCAGCATGTTGGTCCTATTTGACCCTGGGCCATGTCCACCAGCTTCCTTTACCTGCTCCAGCTGCAGCCACAAGCACTCGCTTGGCTGCTCCTCTCACCTTCACTGCCCCACAGCACCAGGCACTCCCTGTGAACCAGAACTGTGTGGGCTGCAAGGGTTAACAGCCCGTGAAAGGAAGAGGGGATTAGATGTCATTGATATTAGCATGTTAATCATTAATCCTCCTTATCTTTTTAATGTGTCTGGACATTAAAAAAAGCTTTTTGTCTGCCCAGAAAGAAACATTAGACCCTCAGGAGGTTTCTTGAACAAAGAGAGGGCTGAGGGCTGGAGCTGGGCAGGAGGGGAGCGGGCGGCCCGTGGCCAGGGTGCAGGAGCCTGGGACACCCCTTTGCATCCTTCCAGCCCTTTGTATTTGTCCTGTCTCCTGCCCAGTTCCTCCTAAAACCTGCTCTGGAGATGGCAGAAGCATCAGCTCTGATCAGCTGGGACTAGGAGGCTGTGGGGCTGGCTGCTGGGGTGCTCTCACCATCAGACCTCTCCTTTTGGGTGGCCGTGTGACCCTCGGCATTGCGGGGCTGCTGGGCAGCTCAGCAGTTAGGAAATCATTAGTCAGGCTGGCTCGAGAAGTGATGTGTGGTTCCTGCTATTTTTGTCACGGGAAAATTCCTGGGCTGGGCTTGGTGATGAGAACAGAGGAGCTGCCTGGTGCAGCCAGGGCTGCATCAGAATAACCACTGAGATGTGTAGAAACAACAAAGAAATGCTGAGGTTCTGGCTTGAAAATGACATAAATGCTCTGAGTGTAGCCCAGGGCAGGAAGCGCCTCTTGGAAATACAAACATTTCCTGCCAAACCATGTAAAGGAACAAACTTTCACATGGCAGGAAATCACAGATGTGTAAATGCACAGGCAGAGGCTCCCCAAAAAGGCATGAACATGAGCTCCAGCCCTGCTCGTGTGCTCTGGGGGATCTGCACAGCACCAGGTTAATGCAGGCTGAGGGAACATGTGCTGATGTGAGGGGCACAAGGAGCCGCCACCTCCTGTGGCATCAAGTGCACCGGTACCAGCACAACCACGTCTTTGTCTTTGCCACCAGCCTTGTGCTCACTGGACACAAAAATGCAAATAACGCAGCAGAGTTTAAATGTTCAAGCCATCATCAGATGAATTTTTAACAGAGAAAGAAAGGATTAAGTGTGTAAACAAGCGTCGCACCATCAATTGGCTCTCTCCAATTACAGGAGGTCGGAATTAATTAGAACCAGAATCCCTTTCTGTTGCCAGGCTATAAATTAATTGAAGATTGCACAAGTTATTTTTACTTGTGCCTGTCGTTTTACAGCTGCAGACAGCTGTGAGCAGAGATGATAAGGTTGGCTGTGTCCTTGGATGGCTCCCAGGGAGCAGCAGAGCCCGTCGGGCACCCCAATGTCTCCATGCAATGTCCCAGCCAGGCTGGGGATGTTTGTCTTGCTCCATGTTGGGACAAGGAACTCAAACAAACAGGGCTCCAGCACAGAGGCTGCCAGATGTGACCCTCACCCATGCCAGCCGAGGCCAGGAAAGCCCTGCAGCTCCGTGCTGGTGTCTGGGAGGGCCAGGAGGACATCGCTGTCCCCCTGACCACAGTCTGGGTGACAGGAGCAAAGACAGACTTGCTGGCCCTGGGGCAAGGCTGCCAGGGAGCTAAGAGCATCCCCTGGCTCGGGAAAGCTGGCTGGTGCCTGGTGCTGCCTGCTGCCCAGCCATGCCCAGCTCCAAGCCCCAGCAGTGCTCCCACCCCCACACCAGCCACTCCTGCTACCCCATCACTTCTTGTACCTCAGACAGCTGGAAAAAAACCGCCCTCACAGCATGTTTATTTCTGTGTTCACATACTCCACTTCAGTTTATGTCCACCTTAGGAAGGAGCTGAGCAACAGGTCCTGTGTGAGAGCTCAGAGAAACCAGGGCCAGTTTATCCAGCAGGTCAATGGTGCTAAAACTCAGAAGCAGCTTTGGCTTTAGATTGGACAAGGATGTGAGCAGGAGAACTGAGCCACAGCCACACCAGGGCTGTGCCTTTGGCCAGACCCCGTCAGCAAGGGGTGGAACAGCCCAGCCAGGCCCAAACAAGAGCAGCCCCGGGGGTGCTCATCGTGGCAAATGTCACCACATTCGTATTTTTCCTCCTGCCCATTTCTCTGGATCTGATAGTTTGCAGGTTCCCCAGATTTGCACCAATCACTGCTGTGTACAGTGCCCCAGGCTCATTAGCCAGGCTCTGCTTCTATTTCTAGTTGCCTCAAGATTAATTGGCAATTAAATTTTATCTTCCCTCTTGCTTTGAGTAGGGAAATGAAATTATTCATGCTGCTGCATGTAGCTGAATTTGTCCGCCAGGGAAACATACTAGAAATAATTGCAGCAAATTCCAATTTTCTCTGTCATTTGAGCATGTCAGTCTGCAGCCAAGTGGCAAGACAGGGAGGTGCTGCTGAGCGAGTCATTAAGTGCCCGTTATTTACTGCTAATTAACAACAGTCAATGAAGAATGGGTGCTTGGGAAAGGATTCCCCGTTTTTTTTAAGTGTAGGAGAAGTGAATGTTACCCATTTTAGCCTTACAGAGATGCCTCTTTTCCAGCAGTGGGAGATGCTTCTCCTCCCTCCTTCTGGACATTGACTGAGTAGATTTTTTTTGGAAAGCATAAATTGCAATGGACCTCAGTGGCCAATGCGAGCAATTAGGAGGGTCCGTGAATCTGCTTCTCATCAGCCTGGGTGTGGGTGTGAAGGCACAGGGCACCCTGGGCAGACACCCAAGGCACCCAGGGCTGCAGCCTGGGCTCCTCTGCCCAGAGCCTCCAGCCAAGGCTCCAGTAACAGCCTGGCAGGGACAGGGCCTGATCCTCACAACAAAAGACTAACCCTTCCTTGATGTTTGGAAGACACTCCAGAATACATCAAAGGCATGTTTTTCCATGCAGAAGAAAGACCTTCTGCAAAGAGGATATTGGCCTTGGAGTGCTAAAACTGGGGAAAGCAAGGACGACAAGGAAGACATGGTGCGTTACCTGTGGTTGGAGGAACCACCCTGCCAGCCCCTGCCCTCACCCTCTGCAGGTCCTGCTGGGACTCAGTTCCCCTCAGTCTTGGAGCAGAGGAGGACCCAGAGCTGCTGCCCAGCCCTTTCCTCACAGTAAAACAGGCAGAAGGAGCAAAGACTTGGTAGGGCTGCCTGCTGGAGCCCGGCTGCTCCTCCTGGGGTTGGCTGTGGGAAGCCCTGGACACAGTGTGTTTGAAGCAGTTTTTGGATTTTGGAGAGGAAGCCAGGGGTCATGTCCAGCAACTCTTTTCAGCAGAGGCTTCTTCTCCCCCTCCCTGTGCTCAGAAGGAAGGGCAAGACAAGGCAAAGCACAGTCCTGGCTCTGTTGCTGCTCTTCGGAAATGAGAATTTCTCTGTGTGGGCTCCAGAGACTCTGAAAAATGGATAATCTCTCTGAACCTCTTGGAGAGTACCAGGACGTTCCTGCCCCTGGTTTGTAGTCCCCAGGCTGGGTGCTCAGGGGGTATTGATGGGAGCCCCGTGCTGGGGCTGAGCGAGACGTGCCGGGAGCAGCGAGGGCTGGCACCTGAAAACCAGGGGGTTTTGTGCTTTTCTCCCAGTTTTCCGAGCTGTGGCCATGGCAGTGCCTGCCCAGGCAAGCACACCTGGCAGCCCAGCATCCATGGCAGGGGGGACAGGGCTCCATGGCTCCACAGCCACCAGCAGTGACACAAGCCACCCTTCCTGGTGCCCATTCCCAGGGGAGCACATCGCCCGCCCGGGAGCAGGAGCCTGGGATAATACTTGTTAAATTCAGCACAGAGTCCAAGAGCATCCCGAAGGCCCAGGGGTCAGCAGCTTAATTCTCTGCTTTTGCTAGCTCAGCTCTAAGCTCAACCTTTCCTTGTTTTCACAAAACCTTTTCCAGGAAGTTTATTTTTCCCGAGCATAAAAGTAAATGCTTAGGTCTGTGTGGCAGGAGCTTACATGAAATTTAAAGCCATTTCCACAGCCAACTTTAAAAAAAAAACAACCAAAAGAAAGTGGGGGGTTTCAGTTTCTAATGTGCTGACCTAGCCTGGAGTTTAAAAGCCCTGCTTCAAGCTCTTCCTTTGGGCTGAAATTTGGCGTAGACTTGAACACTGGAGTGTATGTTCAAATGAAGTGTTGGGATTATATAAAAAAGAATTGTTAATGGAAAAAAATAACGGTAAAAGGATTAAATGAAAATTGGGTCAATTCTGTAGGGACCCTCTCTGAAGAGCTGACAAATTAAGTGCTTGTTACAGCTTCCCATGCCCAAATTCCGGGGAGGAATCATGAGCTCAGCCAAGGTTTTCAGACCTGAGCTTGACCCCGCACAGATCCACGCTGGGACGCTGCATCAGCCCGGAGAACAACCCGGGCTGGGGAACTGAGGAGTGCTCAGCAACTCCCATCGACTTCATCTGCTTAAAATGCTTTGGAAGGCTGAGTCCTGCCAGGCTCTCACGGAAGGACAATCCCAGGGATGCTCCACCTTAGGGTGGTGGCTCCTCTCCTCCCTCCCCAAGCCCATCCCAGGGGTCATTCTGCAGTGGGCTTGTGCCTTTGCACACAACGCGGTGTACGAAGAGAAATCACTCCCAGCAGGAGACACGTGGGCTTGTTAGCCCTGGGTACTGCAGGTATGGGCATTTCCGCAACTCTTTTCAGCAGAGGCTTCTTCTCCCCCTCCCTGTGCTCAGAAGGAAGGGCAAGACAAGGCAAAGCACAGTCCTGGCTCTGTTGCTGCTCTTCGGAAATGAGAATTTCTCTGTGTGGGCTCCAGAGACTCTGAAAAATGGATAATCTCTCTGAACCTCTTGGAGAGCACCAGGACGTTCCTGCCCCTGGTTTGTAGTCCCCAGGCTGGGTGCTCAGGGGGTGTTGATGGGAGCCCCGTGCTGGGGCTGAGCGAGACGTGCCGGGAGCAGCGAGGGCTGGCACCTGAAAACCAGGGGGTTTTGTGCTTTTCTCCCAGTTTTCCGAGCTGTGGCCATGGCAGTGCCTGCCCAGGCAAGCACACCTGGCAGCCCAGCATCCATGGCAGGGGGGACAGGGCTCCATGGCTCCACAGCCACCAGCAGTGACACAAGCCACCCTTACTGGTGCCCATTCCCAGGGGAGCACATCGCCCGCCCGGGAGCAGGAGCCTGGGATAATACTTGTTAAATTCAGCACAGAGTCCAAGAGCATCCCGAAGGCCCAGGGGTCAGCAGCTTAATTCTCTGCTTTTGCTAGCTCAGCTCTAAGCTCAACCTTTCCTTGTTTTCACAAAACCTTTTCCAGGAAGTTTATTTTTCCCGAGCATAAAAGTAAATGCTTAGGTCTGTGTGGCAGGAGCTTACATGAAATTTAAAGCCATTTCCACAGCCAACTTTAAAAAAAAAACAACCAAAAGAAAGTGGGGGGTTTCAGTTTCTAATGTGCTGACCTAGCCTGGAGTTTAAAAGCCCTGCTTCAAGCTCTTCCTTTGGGCTGAAATTTGGCGTAGACTTGAACACTGGAGTGTATGTTCAAATGAAGTGTTGGGATTATATAAAAAAGAATTGTTAATGGAAAAAAATAACGGTAAAAGGATTAAATGAAAATTGGGTCAATTCTGTAGGGACCCTCTCTGAAGAGCTGACAAATTAAGTGCTTGTTACAGCTTCCCATGCCCAAATTCCGGGGAGGAATCATGAGCTCAGCCAAGGTTTTCAGACCTGAGCTTGACCCCGCACAGATCCACGCTGGGACGCTGCATCAGCCCGGAGAACAACCCGGGCTGGGGAACTGAGGAGTGCTCAGCAACTCCCATCGACTTCATCTGCTTAAAATGCTTTGGAAGGCTGAGTCCTGCCAGGCTCTCACGGAAGGACAATCCCAGGGATGCTCCACCTTAGGGTGGTGGCTCCTCTCCTCCCTCCCCAAGCCCATCCCAGGGGTCATTCTGCAGTGGGCTTGTGCCTTTGCACACAACGCGGTGTACGAAGAGAAATCACTCCCAGCAGGAGACACGTGGGCTTGTTAGCCCTGGGTACTGCAGGTATGGGCATTTCCATACCAGCACCCAGAGTGTTGAGCCGTTGGAAAAGGATCAGAAAAGAGCAAAACCATCACCCCCGGTCCTGGAAAGCAACATTCCAGTGGGAGGCTCTGGAGCCTTTACAGCTCTTTCAAGGGAAGGCAGGAGGCAACTTGGTTGGGATCCATAAATAGCTTTCGAGGAAGGCGGCTGCGATAAGCAGAGGGCTCGGGACGAGCTGAGCAGGCTAAAAATACCAAGGGGCTTGGCAGGGTCTGCCCTGCACAGCATCCCCCAAGCACCGACCCCGTGGGGCTCCAGTGCCATTCCCATCCATCCGTGCAGGATTTTTCATGGAGTTCTTCAAAAGGCCGTGGAGTTTTTGCTGCGGTGGCTCTTCCCCCGCGCGATGCCGGCGCCGTGTCCTCCCGCTCTCCTGGGCAGTATCGCCTCCCAAACCAGCAACTGGAAGCACCACCAGGGTGTAAATCTGGAGGGAAGCACAGGCCAGGCAGGACCCTGTGGTCATACCCTGGTGAAGAGTAAATGATTATTGAATCTTCCCAAGGAGAGAGGTGGCTGTGATGTATGTGCTGGGCTGGAGTTGCAGGTTGGTGCTCCCCAGTATCTCCAGGGGCAGGCAGGGGCTTCTCCAGGCTGAAATGGCAGATTTCATCTTTTGTCTCTCATCAGACACCCCAGAGGTGTTTTGAGATCCCTGCTTGAGACATCCCTGTCCTGCAGCGTGTGCCAATGGGAATACATGTACTTGTTTGCTCAAATGCCTGGATGCTCAAGGGCTCTGGGGGTTCAGGGAGTGCTGTGCTGAGCTGCAGGGGTGATCCCGGGAAATGCCATCCCTGAGACCCCCATGGAGCATCACAGGAGCAAAGAGTATCAGACCAGTATAGTGACCTCCTTACTGGTGGGGCTGGGGGTGTGAGGGCTGTGACTGAAATCCCAAAGGGGGGAAAAGGTCTCCACTCTGCCACAGCCCCCACCCCGACGTGGCGCTTCCGGCCCCAGAGAGGGATTTGTGGTTCCCAGACTGTTTGCAGAGAGGAAACCATTCCTGCAAACAGTTTGCTCAGCCAGGAGTGACTCAGACAGGGCAGCCAGGCTGTGGCCCACGGCCACCATGGCCACTGCAGCTGGCCTGGGGGCTGCCTGTCCCCCCCCCGGCCCAGGGGCTGGCACCAGAGCAGTGGTTCCCAAAACAAAAGTCCATCCTTGAAGCGACCCCGATGTTGTTTTGTTTTGAGGATTGTGAGACACCTGCAGGAAGTGAAACACATGATGTGGGTTCTTGAAATAATCTAAACACAAAGCCCAGGGAACACCTGATCGCCTTTCTGCCGCCTTCTGCTGGCGCTGCGGGGACAGCTGGGGGCTGGCAGGAGATGCCATCACAGGGAGGTTTGTCACCCCTCCCAGGCTGCCAGCACGGACCTCCCAGCCCAGCCCCACTCCCCCCCCCTGGTTTTTCAACCCTGGGAAGATGCTGCAGAACTGCTGGCAGCAGCAGAGCTGTTATTTCCCTGGGTAATTAGACATACCGAGGATGCCCGGGCTCGGGTGGGCTCGGTGTTGGGTGGGTCTGTCCCGTCCTCTGCCACCCACGTGCCGGTTTTCTCGCCCCACGCCCGCTCACCTCCCCGGTGACACCGGCCCTGCCCTCTCGCCTCCCTCCAGGCTTCGTCTGCGAGCGCGACCGCCTGACGTTCGGCTTCTGCCAGACCCTGCGCGTCCTGGGCAGGTGTCACCTG